GGCTGTAGCTAAATTTGCATTTCAATGACACGCACACATACTCACACACAGTCCAGTCTAGGGCTGCACAATATACCAACATTAATTACGAATTGCGATATTGCTTAAATTTACAGTTGTACTATAAAATAAAATGGTTATTTTACTTGAATGTTTAATTTCTGCCATATTACCTTTTAATTAAGATTAAGCTTACAGTAATGTCAATTGTTTTTTGTTGTTGTTTTTTATCTCAACTATTTTGGTGGGTCTTGAAATATTACACTTGTTTAGGTGGGTCGTGGAATGGAACAGTTTGAGAACCCTTGTCTTAAACCATTCATCATGAAATATTCTACAACTTGAACTGTGTATGAGTGTTGGTACAAGATATAAGACTGGTCTTGCTTCAAAGCAAACTATGCAGTTTTCCCATTTTTCTTTTTCTGCTGTATAATTTACCCATTTATACCAATTATTTTCTTCTACCTTTTCCCATAAAACATTTGAATTGCTAATTCTCTTATAACTGATATTATGGTTATCATTTACAATATTTCTGTTTTGTCTAGATATTTTTTTGCTTCTCGTTCAATTCTTGTTCTTTTTGGATGAAATCAAAGCCACTGCTGGATTCAACCGAGGGTTGAAAAGTTGATTCTAGGGAAGTCTGGGTGCTGTTGGCTACAGCTTGAGCTTGTAGAATTAGATGCATTAGGCATGTGGTGATCATCAGATATGTTGTCAGACTTTCTTTTCACACTTCTGCTTCTCGTGCATCTCTTTTTGAGTTGTGATCAGTTTGCACTTCATCTTGCGTCTCTGGTCTCTCCTGGTCACTTGCTCCTGAGTTGTCTGCTTGTCTGTTTCTTTCTCTTTCTACTTCCTCTTTTCCATTTGTTGGCCCACATCTGCTCCAAAGTATTTTGCTCTCGTTAGCAGTCCCATCACTCATTCCATCTTCAGCAGGGTGACTCTTTGCGAGTCGTTGCAATGGTCTTTCCCTCGTTGGCAAGGGAGGGTCGTTACTAGCACGCCATTCATCCCTCACTTCATGCTGTGTGGGGTTGTTGAAGCTGGTTGGCATATTTTAAGGTGAGAGATGTGGACCCAGGTGTCACTCTGCAACCATTTTGCCGCTCAATGCAAGATTCTCCCTTGAGATCATAACTGCACACTCACTGGTTCTCATTGGTGGAGCAAACCATTCCCTGGCCTTGATAGCACTGCTGTCACCTGTAAATGGAAACCTTCAGAGTGTTCTGTTAGTGATATGAAGCATGCTCACTTGCTCATCTGGCCAGTCGTCCTTCTTGGTGTGACCTGTGGAGATTTCATGTGGGTTGAGGGCCGTCCTGGCCCCTTTTTGAGCTCTCACAAATCCAGTGCTGTCAATACAATGAGTATGAACACACTCAGCCCACTTTATTATGTTAACAGTCAGAAATACAATATTTTATCCTTTTGACACAGAATCAGCTCCATTATGATATGCTGAAAAGAAAGTGGGGTGGACAGAGCAAGCTTTGCTCTGCCTTCCCATGTTATACGCTGCGCAAGTGTGGCGCCCTGTGGGCCCACATATTAACATTTGCATACAGCTGTTTTGTCAAAATGATTGATTTGCCTCAGTGTCTCGTCAGACACCCTCTTTCCCTCCACACATCACCATCATTCATACTCTTTCACACTCTTTCACATCCCCCTTTTGGCCAAAAACATATTTTTTCTTGAGATTTCAGCTGATTGTGAACTAAATGATTTTAGTTGTGAATGCCACGGATTCTGAGTAGGATAATATGAACTTTTTTTTCGTTAGACTCTACTGAGCGTAGACCTGGTAGCATTCCACATAGTTTCTAGATGTCGTACAACTGGGCAACGTCAGTCACCATAAAGTTTAGTTTAACACCGCTGTATAAATTTTCACACCCTTTAACATCCCCCTTTTTGCCAAAAACATATTTTTTCTTGAGTTTTCAGCTGATTGTGAACTAAATGATTTTAGTTGTGAATGCCATGGATTCTGAGTAGGATAATATGAACTTTTTTCGTTAGACTCGACTGAGCGTAGACCTGGTAGCATTCCTCATAGCTTCTAGATGTCATGCAACTGGGCAACGTCAGTCACCATGAAGTTTAGTTTAACACCCCTGTATAAACCTCTTTCCCATCAAAATCTAATAGATTAATTGGTTTAGAATAATAGGCCTAGGCATTGTGCACTTGAGAGAGCCAATTGTCAAATATCACTTGTTTGTCAAATTTAGATTTTAGACAAATATTTTTTTGTTATTGCTCATGAGCTACTTTGAGAAGAGGATTGGAGGTCTCTGCATAATCTAGGATCCATGGCCATCAACATTTCCATCTTGTTATCCGCAGTGATGACAGCATATGTGATTTCATGATTTTGGATTTTTGGAGTAATTTATTATTATTATTATTATTATTTTAATCAATCTAGCCCTAGAAAATTACCATTAAACAAAATGGAGTGACCAATATTGTTATTTTATCAGCCATATTTTTTTCTATTAGACATCTTGTCACCCTTTTTTTTTCTTTTTCCCAAAGAGTTCAGCATTGCTGTCAATAACTCAGTTTCCTGCATTAAGTCAGTCTTCATGCAGAAGTGTGCACTCATTCAGGAGCGGAGGTGAGCGTCCTCCCTCTTCTTCTCTCTGCAGCTGTGTCTTTGCTTCGTCACCACTTTGTTAGAAAGACTCCAGTTCATTGATTCCCTTTATCAAAGCACTGTTCCAGAAGTCATCAGCAATTTGAACACTCAGAGACTGCATTCATCAAATTGAACCTTTGTAAACTCTGACCAAATCTGCTCTTTATCTAATTTTCACTTTTCAACCATCTCTTTCAATGGTCCCTTAATAAAAACAATCTCATCTGGTTAAAAACAGCAGTTCCCTTATTCTATTTTAGTAAAGGAAGTTCTTCATTGCATAAAAATAGCAGCAGTTTTTTCTTTGCAAAATGCAGAACGCAGCAGTAACTTTGCTTCGTCACCACTTTGTTAGAAAGACTCCAGTTCATTGATTCCCTTTATCAAGCACTGTTCCAGAAGCCATCAGCAATTTGAACACTCAGAGACTGCATTCATCAAATTGAACCTTTGTAAACTCTGACCAAATCTGCTCTTTATCTAATTTTCACTTTTCAACCATCTCTTTCAATGGTCCCTTAATAAAAACAATCTCATCTGGTTAAAAACAGCAGTTCCCTTATTCTATTTTAGTAAAGGAAGTTCTTCATTGCATAAAAATAGCAGCAGTTTTTTCTTTGCAAAATGCAGAACGCAGCAGTAATCTAGCTTTATTATATACTGCAATTAAACAGAAGAATCCTTCCTTTTACAACAGCATGACATGCGTATGGTAAACTAGATTTCAATCATAATTTATCTTCTATATTTGCATACATGATTCAGAATAATCTGGTAATGGTGAATTAATTTTTCCCAACCAACATAACAGAATTCCTTTTATTTAAATATTTAATCAACAAGTTCCATTATTATTGTAAAATAGCTTTTGAATCAAAATGTCTATGAACTTGGTCACCCAATCTCGCTCTGATTCAGCATTGCACTACACTACACAAGTCATCTTCTAGTTAACTCCAGTCTAAGTCTCTGAAACTCTGCAGTGGATTAACTTTCATACGGTGTCCCAGGGATAACAACATACACATTTTAGAAGTCGTCACATATTAGAAATAAAGTTTTAAGCACATGCAATCTTTTTATTCATCTGTTAAGACATGTCATTAAATAATAAATGTATATCTTATTTTAATTATATATCTATTATTATTTCAATAATCTGCAAAGGCCTATATTAGAAATGGCTGAATTGGGTGCTTGGATGATTTGTACATATAAATAACCTCTGTCCAACTGGTTGATAATTTATCAATAACAACATATTATAGCCTATGGCTCTAAATACTTCATATAAAAGATCAATGTTATGTCATAATATGTCAGATACCTCAACTGAATTTAAAATCATTGCAATAAATTCTCAGTTGGTATGATGGCAATAGTAACAATTCCTATCAAATCAACACCAAATGCAAAAATAGACATAAAATGATGCAAGATATAACACAATAAATGTTCTGATAGAATCACTGTTTGGACATTCATTGAGAGTTTTTTTTTTTTTTTTAAATCCAGTGTTTGTTTTCAGTTCTGATTTTAGTTCGATTTTTTTTTTTCATGAAAACCCTATAGCTACACATTCAGTGGCACTCTCAAACAGTGAATATACAGTTATATGACAGTTACATGTAATTACATTGTCTGCAAGTGCATTAAACCCATAGAATATAATGTAGTAATGTTATGACAAATATGGGAAATTCATTATAGTGTTATATTTGGTCTCCACATCTTAAGTCTAGGGAATAGTGCATTTGACCCTTATCTAAATCTGTCCTTAATCAGAAGATATATTTATTTATTTATTTCAATCCAAGTGCACAATAGGCTATATGACCACATGAACTTTAAGAATCATATAGGCCTACTTTTTTGTTTGTGTTTAGATAAATCGCTCAGAGGGGTTTGTGCAGTGACAGTATCATCACTGTTTCACATTGTGTCTCTGATTCCATGCTGTTTTAAAGGCTAAATTAAAGTCACGCAAATAAGTCCTTTGTCATTTATTTTAATTGAACTGATGACATATTGAAGTGATTTTGTACCTAACAGGAATCATAGCTCTGTTCCCTCCAAAGACAGCTTCTGTATATAAGGAGGATCACTGGGGTTTGAAGCAGAAGATCTGAGAAACAACTGCTCAAGACACATTAAACAATCATTTCATGATATTTATCATAATTTAGCACCAATTAAATTTTTAGTATATCAGCTGATGCATTATGTTTACGAACAATACAGAAGAACTATAAAAATAAAAAGAGCAAAAATCTGCAATCACTGTGATAAGATATAAAATCAGCTGAAACACAATGCTGCTAAATTGATTTCAATGAACAAATTTATTGATTCAAGACAATTAATAAAACACAAAAGCCTTTGGCCACAACTGTGTGAAGTGAAAATATCATATTACAATGTTTATTTCACAATGTTTACCACAGCGTCAACAATAACAGGCCATTTATTAATCTATCGAGTCGACAGTTCATTTGTGTCAGGAGTAAAATAAAGAAGAGTTAGCCAAGAGATGATCAGTTTTACTTAATGGCTTTAATTTAGACCAAACTAAAGTTTCTGAACCTGACTTAAAAAGTAAATGCCTGTACTAAAGAAAACATTTAGCAACTAACGGTAGTTCCCCTGAAATACTGAACATGAAATAAGGTACTGTTGTAGTAAATTACACTCCTATAAGCAATAAGTAAATACTGAAACGGACAGTCATTTAACAAGTAATCGAGTTAATGTCAAACCTCATCATATCTGCCTAAAGCACTGAAGTCTGTGAGGTAAGACATGAGCTTACTCAGCTTTCCTGATTGGAGATTGTCGTGAATATTTAGCTTATATATGTGGACGTACAATTCAACACAGTTTAACAGTGAAATGGTCAGATATTAGTAATGTGGGGATTTTTTGCATCACGTCTAAGTGTGGTTTTCCTCACAAACAGCTGGTGTGTCGATCTCTGAGATCTTGTTGCTCTCGTGGGTTTCTGAGTCACACTGTGTCAAAGATTCAAACATGTTTCTGCAGACCATGCTGTTTTCATCGGCACTTTTCCCAGCAGAACCGGTCTGATCTGGTCTTTCCTCTCTGAAACTACAACAGCAATATCAAACCATTTTCAGCGTAACATACGAGTGTCTTCAACTTGAACACTCAATCCATCATATGTTTTTATCATTCATGTCATTTATAATGACAACCATATACAAGACAACTTACAAATGACACGAGGAGCGTCTTTGCTGTTATTCCTCTTCATTTGTTCCATCATAAATTTCCCTCCGTTCTCCGTCATCATTCGTTCAATCTTCTGCAGTAGATCTTGGACTTGTTTGTCTGATTTGCTCTTGTTATTGAAACAGTGAAACTTTCCTCCACATTCAGTCACGAGTCGCTGCAGATCCTCATGATCTTTGTGTTTCAGATGTTCATCAATGGTCTGATCCAGATCCTCCAGATCATCTCCACGTGTGAACAGAATCATGATGTATTTCTGAACTCCAGCACCAAACAAACACTTCATATAATCCAGGATCTCCTCCTCATTTCCCACAGGTTTCTCCAGAGACACGGTGAGCAGAACTGAACTGAGACCTGCTGAACATCCAGAGACCAGCTGCTCTTCATTCAGATCTGGATCCAGTAGATCTGGACAATCAATCACAGCAACCTGCTTCCCACAGATCTGAGCTTGACCCTCACACACCTCAGACTCGTGCCTTTTAAACCTCTCTTCTCCCAGGATAGTGTTCCCAGATGAGCTTTTCCCAGAAGTGTTTCTGCCCAGCAGAAGAATCCGGATCACTGCATCATCTGGACTGGAGATGATCACTGACATAAATGAGTTAAAAATATGATACAAGACATCAGGTGAAGATGTTATTCTTCTCATTGGAGGTCAAGAGTACGAAATACTTCTTCTAGTATATCTTCTACGATATACTAAAAGATCCAATATACTTTGTCTGTTTCACAAAGAACGTGAAAAGATTTCTTTCATTTCATTTTATTTTTTGTGATATATTACGTCAATGTAAATTGGTAATTATACAAAAATGAAATATTAAATAATGAAATCATCTACGTATCATCTTATTATCTTCATAGCGACACGGCATGCAGGCCACAATAGCGCTGACAGATATATCAAGTTTTTCCTTTTATATTCAAAATATCCACAAACTTGTTAACTATATCATACACTATATGATATAGACTATTCTGGTTGTCAAATATGTGTAAATTAATGACCATATCAGATAATCTATCAATTAATGCGCTACAGTTGATCTATAATCGTGTGCATCTGTCAGATTAACATCACATAATTCACCCATTTCTCCCGAAATACATGAAAGTAGGACGTAAGTGTCCAGTGAACTGGGAGAAAAGCAGAGTGAACTTTATCGTTACCTACACAGTGTTTGATAGGAATAAAACACTTCATCACATTTAATTGAAAGGATTATCCTCTCTTCTCCCAGGATAGTGTTCCCAGATGAGCTTTTCCCAGAAGTGTTTCTGCCCAGCAGAAGAATCCGGATCACTGCATCATCTGGACTGAAGATGATCACTGACATGAATTAAAAATATGATACAAGACGTCATGTTATTCTTCTCATTGGAGGTCAAGAGTACAAAAAGATCCAATATACTTTGTCTATGTTTCACAAAGAACGTGAAAAGATTTCTTTCATTTCATTTGATTTTTTGTGATATATTACGTCAATGTAAAATGGCAGTTATACAAAAATAAAAATGTAAATAAAGAAATAATCTACGTATCATCTTATTATCTTCATAGCGATGCGGCATGCAGGCCACAATAGCGCTGACAGATATATCAAGTTTTTCCTTTTATATTCAATACTACACTATATGATATAGACTATTCTGGTTGTCAAATATGTGTAAATTAATGACCATATCAGTTAATCTATCAATTAATGTGCTACAGTTGATCTATAATCGTGTGCGTCTGTCAGATTAACATCACATAATTCACCCATTTCTCCCGAAATACATGAAAGTAGGACGTAAGTGTCCAGTGAACTGGGAGAAAAACAGAGTGAACTGTATCGCTACCTACACAGTGTTTGATAGGAATAAAACACTTCATCACATTTAATTGAAAGGATTATTATTGCCGCTTTCCATATAAACCAGTGTGTTTTTAACAAACTATAAATGTGTTTTTTGCTGAAATGTCTATTTAAATGTCTGAAACCTAAAGTACACTTTATGTGGTTGAAAACACGTCTGTCTCTGGCTCAGCGTCAAAGGAACCCGGGGCCACACATCAGATCTGAGGGCCAATGCTAAGACTTTGAATGTTAAAATGCAAATGAACACCTGACCGCTGCTGTGGGTTTGCTGCTGCTACAATTAAAAACCACAGAAGGGTAAAAAAAAGCCAGACAGACATTGGTATGATGAGCAACACAGCTACAACAAATACAACTGATAATGTGTGTGTTAGATTTATAGTGTGTGAATAATCAAGCACTGATAATAATCAGCCGTATTGGTGGCACTGAGGGGCCCCCATGTATAATTCTGCTTAGGGCCCTATAAAGGCTTGGGCCGGCCCTGATGGAGCAGAGCCATTCTTTTATTCATTCACAGAAACTGAGCAAGCGGTAAGTATGATTATCAGATCAGTAGCTATAGAACTGATTAAGACTCTGTCTCTGCATTCGCAGTCGACCTACATGAACAAATTCATACATTTTACAGCATTTTAACATGATCATACATACAGACTAGGTGACTGAAAGAAGATTAGTCATGGACTCGTTCTTGTTTCTACAGTCTGATGACAGCAGGTGTTACTGTGTTATCTCTTCTAAACACTGACTTCAGTCCAATGGATATTCACTACTCGCGCTTTTGGTGTAAAACGACTATTCACATTTGATTTGTTTCTCTGTATTTCTAGTCATGTTTGGTGTAAGAATATGTAAAACATTGTTAGGCTGCACTACGCCGAAAACAGAAACTTAAATAAATAAATAAATATCATCTCAGATAATCATGGAATAAAATCATTTTATGGAATAAAATTCATACCTGTAGGTCTCTCCACCATCTTTAGTGAAAGATCACAAGAATAACTCTTCTCAGAAAACAAATCCAGCGCAAAAGGTTAAGACAGAAGTAGCGTTTAGATACTTTCAGTTTGTTACCTGACGAGGAGGAGCCTGATCGACCAACACTGAACATGTTCAGACACACAAGAAGCATACCTCTACTGCACACACACACATACACAGTTTGGTGTAAGAATATGTAAAACATTGTTAGGCTGCACTACGCCGAAAACAGAAACTTAAATAAATAAATAAATATCATCTCAGATAATCATGGAATTAAATCAGTTTGGCAACAACATCTACAGTCTTTGAGTCCGAGTGAAGATATTTCATACCTGTAGGTCTCTCCACCATCTTTAGTGAAAGATCACAAGAATAACTCTTCTCAGAAAACAAATCCAGCGCAAAAAGGTAATAAATCAGGCTCTTTAAATGACACACGTCGAGGATTTGGTCAAAAGATAGAAGTAGCGTTTAGATGCTTTCAGTTTGTAACATCTATAGGGTAAAGTTTTGAGCTGACACATGACCAAACAACATGAACAATACATGAAGTATTAATTTTCACAAAGCCTTACCTGAATAAAGTTATGAGTTTATGACATCTGAATAGTTGGATTCTGTTACTGAAACGTGCTCTCTCTTTGTTTTTCCAGAGATTTCTCTCCATGTGCTAAACACAGATTTACTCCTCAGGCCCACCAAAGGTCATCAGGGCCCCTCATCTACATGAACGTTTACTTTGTTCTCTGTCCCTGCATATCAAAGAATGAAGTCAAATATTGTGTTGATTTCTCTCTGGATGTTTTAGGAAGTACCTGATAAGAGTACGAGCCTGAGCACTCGAACTTGAAGAAGTGTTCTGTATGTGGGCATCTGTGTTCACAGAACTAGACTTCTCTCCCAACTCTCTCAGGACAGAATGGACATCTTCAGACAACCTGCCGCTAGATGTGCTGATATACCTCCTTGGTGGGCCACTTCACGCCTGAAACCAAATCCCTGTAGTCATCCCATGTTATCTTCGGAGATATGCTTTGAACTTTATGTCCATGTGTGGAGATATGCGCTTCAACCCACCAGAATCCTCTAATGTGAAGTGATGTAGTTGGAGTATAATTTTGTTAGAGTATAATTACTGCTGTACTGAGCACTGGGAGACACCGCAGCAGCTGGAGGACCATCTGCACGTGATAGTGGGACAAAGTGACACTTTCTATGTCATTTAAAAGTGTGACAGTATTAAACTGAATAGGGCAGGCAATGAGCCAAAACTATGGCCCGCACACAACAAGCCACAGCTCACCATAAAGCTGTTTTGTCAAATAGGGGCCATATCCGGCCCACACACAAACAACAAGCCACAACACACACTAAAACCAGCTTGATGTGTGGGAGCCAGATCTGTCCCACATGCCCCTGCCTTTGTCTGAACTGCACAAGATTTAATGCAGCAAAGCACCTGTTCCTGCGATCTGAAGCCAAAAGCACCTTACAGATAGCAGAGCACTAAATGATATTAACCACATACAACAAGACGGAAAACTGCCCAGGCCAACATATTTGACTCAATATCCATAATATAAACTTGTTTTAGACCACCAAATATATCACTGAAATGCGCAATTTGAATGGATTTGGATGTTCATAAATACAGACAAGTTACTGTGATGCCTTCATCAAATACACTCGTGTCTGCTTTACTAGATTCTACTTTCTACTTGTCCTTCTAAAAATGTAGCATTGTGTCATAAGCTTTAATTACAGCAGTGCTGGATAGTAAGTAACTGATTACATGTAATCTGGATTACATAATCAGGTAATTCGATTAAATTACATTTTACAATACTAGTAATCTGACTACAGTTACTTTTTATTGATTACACGATTGATTATTCACACACTAACAATGAATTGCTCATCGTTTATTGAGTCTCCTGATTTCTTCTTTTAAAGTTTCCTTTCTAAAATAGCCCTCTCCTTATACACGTTCAGAAAGTCTTCCAGTTATGTGGACATCCACACAAAGAGCAGTCACTAGTCAGGTAGATATAACTACACAGAGGCCACACAGCACTCGATCACTGGATTTGCAAAATTAATGTCAATTTGATTAAGTGTTGTGTGAATATTTCAACATTGCATTAACTAGGCCTATGGATAAACATTAATTTAATTTGAATTATCACTCAGTGGGTTATAACTTTTGATGATATAACCATGTATTACTATGTCTTTGGAAGTCGTTTGTCTTTCAAATATTAAAATGCACAAATTAATTTAATTTTTTATTTACATGTAATGCTCCCGATCCCTAACCATGTTCTCATTCAGAAAACACAAACACACAATATAACTACCTCAAGAATCACAAAATGAACAGAAACAGCACACATTTATCCATGTGTGAACATTAAGCAGCAAAACTGACGACACACAGCTCAGAATCTCAGGATGATATACACACGAGCACACGTGATTATGAGTTTTGGAAAATGAATCCTGGAAGTGAGAGACAAAGAGGAATATGAGGGGGAAATAAAAACAAAGGGAATGAGGTCAAAGGTCATTTGTTGCTGATGAAATATACATTATTATAGTTGAGCATGTTCTTGTGCATGCACTGATCATATGGAAAGCTGGCCTGCAGGCTCATCTGCAGGGTTTACACTACTAACACATTACACTTACAGTACATAGCAGCAGTACTGCAGATGAGAGGACTCTCACTGTTCTTTGTACTGTAAACACTGTACCACACAGCCTCACACTCATTACTGCTGAATTGATTTGTAGCCGAGTACTTCTTACATGTATTTGTGAGAGTCGACTGTCAAGCGGAGGCAGACGAAATCTTTTGTCAGAAGACTAAGAAACTGCTATAGTATAACAAATAAGGATATTACCAAAACTGTAATGCAACTTGGCGAGGATGCAGAATTTATTTATTTATTGCTGTCCAGTAACTGACAGTATATTCCAATGTGTGTTTACTGTATATTCAGTTGTTTGGTCTTTGAACTTTTCTCTTCGAGTGCTTTTCATCTACTGTAAGATCTCTTCACACTAGTGTAATGACAGTAAACTTTTCTTACAGTTTAATGCTGAATTTGACGGTTTCTGCACCCCTCTATTTATGTCGTATACTGTAACAGACATCGATAGCAAAAGGATCCCTGTTTCCCAAAAGCAGGTTTTAGTAACAGTGTTGAGTTGATCTCACTAGTGTGCTCTCGGCAGTGCAGTATGTGTGTATCTGACAGCTTTGTGTATCATCTGAGGCCAAAGTTTGAGTCTGACAAAAGAGAACATGTTTTTGACTAAACTATTTGATTTTGAGCTGGAAGTCTGAAGTTTGCACAAGTTTGTGTGTAGTTTTGAGATTGTGTTTATAGTTGTGAGAAAATGGTGAATTGTTTCATGAATTGTGTGTTAGCAATCAAGAAAAACTGTATCAAGGCTGGATGGGTTTTTCTCTTTGTTTAGCAGAAAAGACTACATTACTTGTGATGTGGACAAAGTGCTCAGGCACACAGACATGATGCTGAGACAGAATGAAGCTCTCATTGACCCTGATCTTACAATCGCACAACTTACAGTATTTGACTGTTCTGTAACATGCTATTCATTTAGAGTTTTATTTGACCTTTTTGGACAAACATTCGGTACTATTCAATATTCAGCACAATACTGTTCTTGCAGTACATACAGTAGGCCTATACAATATATTCACCGTACTCAGTTACTATACTTTCTTACAGAATTGCAAAATTGTTTACTCAATAAAATATACTTTTTTCTGTAATGTTCTGGATGCTGTGTTCTCTGTAGTGTCTAATGAATGCTCTGTAGTGTTTATTGTATTGACTCGTGTGTGTGTGTGTGTGTATGTGTGTGTGTGTGTGTGATCTGAGAGCACTGTTCGGTTTTGAGTGCAAGAGAAATGGTTTTGCAGTGATTGTTTGATTTTGATGAAGAGTCAGAGGTTTCGTGAGTTTAGTTTGAGTATTTGGATTTGTGTTTAAGGTTTTGAGAAAACGAGTGATGGTCTCAAGAAATGTGTTTTAGTAATATGGAAGGGCTACATTATCGTTGCAAGAGAAAATAAACTAATCCTTTATGTATTCCTTAACACATTTTCAGTGCTTTTCCCGCATAAATGTTTACAAATGATAAATGAATCAAACATGAATATATATTACATTTGTTCTATTTAATAAACCAAAGTTCCGCACTTCATGGAAGGTTATAGTCTTTTGTCGAATTAATTATTACAGAAGGTGTAATAAACAATGGCTTTTTGTCTTGTCAAATTATTTAGTTGATTTTATATACAGTTTGTTTATTTTGTGGCTTTGTTTATGAGTTTATGGACGGCAAAATAATAAAATAATATGATTAGAAATAATAAGCTATAGAAAATTATGGTTTATCCTGGTTTACAAAGAACCATTTACAAGAGCCATGGTTTACAAAGATATATTTTTTCCCAAAACACACACCCTTCACATTGGGATGCAGCTACATGAATATTTGTGTGTTTTATTGAGGGTTTTATAGTGTTCCTGTCTGACTTGTTTAAACACACCTGCTGATAAACTCCTCCTCTTACAGCTCGTACCAGCAAGAGACTGACGCTTATTTCTGCTTTCTGTCACACTGACTCTCTTCTCTACTGACAAAAGCCATAAAGAATCAGCCATCAACGAAGAAGGAAGAAACATGCTTTAAATAGGAATTTTTGAGACGTTTGTTTGTGAACAGACAGCAGATCTTGATTCATTTTTCAAACCGTCGTTCAGAAAGTGAAAGTAAAGTTGAGATCGCTGGAGCTCGAGCAGTGAAAATGGCTTCACTAACTGTATCTGCAGAAGAGCTTTCTTGTCCTGTTTGCTGTGAGATCTTCAAGACTCCTGTTCTTCTGTCATGTAGTCACAGTTTCTGTAAAGAGTGTCTTCAACAGTTCTGGACAACCAAAGAAACTCAGGAGTGTCCCGTCTGCAGGAGAAGATCCTCAAAACATGATGCTCCAGTTAATCTAGTGTTAAAAAACCTGTGCGACTCGTTCCTGAAGGAGAGAAATGAGAAGCGTTCATCAGGATCTGAGGAGATCTGCAGTTTACACCGAGAGAAACTCAAACTCTTCTGTCTGGAGGACAAACAGCCGGTGTGTTTAGTGTGTATTAATTCACAGAAACACGACAATCATAAGTTCAGACCCATCGGTGAAGTGGTTTCATCATATAAGGTGAGATAAATGAGTTTTGTTTTTACTTTTTAACTTCATGCTGTTGAAAAGTCCTGTTTAAGTGTTGATTTGATTGATCAGGACTGCTTGTGTTTAGTTCAGCTGAGCTCCATTATCATAGTTTCACAGATTTGGGGAATTAATAACTACAGAGCAAACACATTTTCACACAGGCCCAGTAGATATTATTATTTTGTCTTCACTCAGGTTTCTTTGTTTTATGGCAGGTTTTAATTTCTGAATGAGTTTAGTATGAGATGTTCACAAAACCAGAAGAAATCAGGATGGGTGCAAATACTTTTGCACTGCATTATATTATCATATCACTGTCTCGTCTTCTCTTCTTATCTTTACTGTAATCTGGTGTTTTTAATGTATTTTTGTTCGATTCTAGGAGGAGCTCAATACAGCACTGAAATCATTACAAGAAAAACTGGAACAGAATGAAGAAATGAAAGAAGAGTTTGAGGAAACAGTTCGTCACATCGAGGTGAGGAAACAGAATCCAGACTCATCTTCATTACAGCTGTAGATCACTAGATACAGTTATGATCTGATATATTTAATATAATGGACTCCAGTTGATTATCTCTGTAAATGACGAGCAGTGATCTGCTTCTAGATCGGTTATACGTCTGTATTTGAGTTTCTCTCAGATCTGAATGATGTGATGTGTTGATGTGTGTCGATTGAGACGATTGAAGTGAATGTGGTTTGATTTCAGTCTCAAGCTGAGCACACAGAGCGTCAGATTAAACAGCAGTTTGAGAAGCTTCATCAGTTTCTCAGAGATGAAGAAGAAGCTACAATCACTGCACTGAGAGAGGAAGAGGAGCAGAAGAAGCAGATGATGAAGGAGAAGCGACACAGAAGTGATTTCAGCAGTTTTTATTTCCCATATGATGACTGCTGTTTAAATACTACTTTATTTTTTTTATTTATATTTTGAATTGGGTTTTATTTTTAGATTTTATTTTAAATAATTTATATGCTTTTGTCATTTTTATTACTTTAAAAATTTTCTATTTAGCTTCAAATTTAATATGCATAATTATAAATAATTTTATTTCAGTTTTAGTTTTAGTAATTTTAATGCTTCAAGTTAATTTATTTCAATTTGTTGCCAAAATGGCTTTTCTAATTTACATTTAATTTTAATAGTTAGATTTTCATCTAATAATTATTATTTATATTATTTAAGATTTATTTTAATTAATGAAGATATTATTAATAGTTTTAGTTGTAGCGTTAACAATATCAGCAAGATTATTATTATTTAACTGTATTATCGTGGAATAAAACCTACTGTTTGTTTATTATTTTAATAAGTAGACAGCGTTCAGTAAAGAGTTTTGTGATTCATACAAGAGGACAATTATATAGATATGAACAATACTTCTTCTGCATTATTATATTGATAATCTCGTTTGAATATGACAGCACTGTGTATAGCTGTGTTCAAAGGTAAGATTTTGTATGAAAAGCAGCTTCTCACTATAATTAATATAAATGAGAGCGTAAATGAAATGAATATGTTTTGAGTTTGTGTCCCTTACTGTTTCTGACTGTATCTTTCAGTCTTGATAAATCACACAGAGAGTGACTGACAGCGATCAGAGGGAAATATAAATGTCTGATGTGTTTGATCAACAGCATGAGTGTCATAACTCATAATAATCTGTGTGTGGTTCACTCTTGATCATTATATGAACATCAGAATAACAGCATCTGTTGATTGTGTCTCATCAGCTCCTGTGATTCTGGATCCAAACACGGCTCATCGATCTCTCGTTCTGTCTGATGATCTGACCAGTGTGAGAGACAGCGGCGATTATAAACCTGTTCCTGATAATCCAGAGAGGTTTGACTGTGATGAATGTGTTCTGGGTTCAGAGGGGTTTAACTCAGGAACACACTGCTGGGGTGTGGAGGTTAAACAGAGTTCATGCTGGAGTCTCGGAGTAACTACAGCATCAAACCCGAGGAAGGGACGGGGTTTCTTCAACACTGGTGTCTGGTTTGTGTGGTTTGATCAGTACAGATGGTCTTTAGGTTCTGGTGTTCGTGTTAAACAGAAGCTTGAGCGTGTGAGAGTGTATCTGGACTATGACGGAGGAACGGTGTCATTCTCTGATCCTGTAACTAACACACATCTACACACATTCACAACCTCCTTCTCTCACACACTCTTCCCTTTCTTCTGTTGTTATTATTATTCCTCTCTGAGGATCTTAACGATCAATAGTCAGTAATCGTTACTCCTGCAGCTCTGGATCTTCCTGCTTTCATCTTTCATCATGTTTCAACACTTAATCACACGAGTGTCAGACTGTTGATCTGAATATATGCTTGTGATCGATAGTTATCTGAACTCTGATCACTGATGGATATTAATCAAACTCTACAATCACTGATTCAATCTCTATAAGGTTCAGATTATCTGCAGAAGTGAAGGTAATATCACGTAATATAATAATATCAACAAGAAAAAGTAATGGAAATTAATTATTGTGTTGTTGTTTTTTAAAAACAAGTGTTTTATTGTACTAAAAATAAATAATAAATAAAATAATTATTGTTTATCTTACCTGGCCAAGTGGAGGTGATTTTAAGATTCATATTTTCAGGCTAACTGACATTTATCTAATTATTTCAGAGAAATGTGTCTCTTTACTCATAAAGTTGTATGCAATAATATGTTCCCCCCCCCCAGTTTATGTCAGTTACACAGATGAAATTATTATTATTTTTCTATTGAAGTAAATGTTTAAAAGCAGCTTCACAGTAATAAACAGAAAATTGCTCATATGTTTAATCTTGTAATTGCTTTGATTTCAGCTCTAAAGCGGCTCTACAGAAGACGATGTAGTGTCATTGTTGAGCTCAATTCAGATAGTTCCTAATGAAGCTAAAATAATTTAATACATTTCTGTTATTTCTTCAGAATCAGTGCAGCTTTACTGACATCTAGTGGAGAAACTGAGCAACTGACTCAAAATAAGAATATCAACCAAAGGCACTAAATAGTAAACCATTTTATATTTATATTTAGACATTATAAAATTACTCTCTGTCAAATTTAAGGCAATTTTGTACTGAAGAATAAATAAACACCCTTTGGAGTCAGGCTAGGATAGGAATGTCAAAAGATTATAAACGATTTCTGTTTAAAGTTACTTTTTTTTTCTTTCAAGAAAACCTGAGCAAATATTATGTTAAATAAATGTTTGTTTTACTAAATCTGGTTAAATCTGATTTTCTGCTCTGGTTTTTAACCCGCCCCTCTCGGATGATTGACAGCAGCAGGAACCAATCAGCGTCTCCTGTGAAAGTGAAAGTAAAAACGGAGAGCGGCAGAAAAGAACAGCAAACAACATCCAGACATCACACAGGGACGAACAGTCACATATATTATCCTATCAGCTGTTTGCTTACAGATAACTGTGAACAAATGTGGATCTGAGAGGAAATTCAAGAGTTCAGTACTTTTCAAATGAGCACAGAGAGACAGTTTAATGTCTGATAGGATCCACACAGAGCACAAACTTAACATTAATGCATTTTGTAGACTAATCTACATCTTCCTATTAAACGACAGCATATGAAACTATAAACAGCTTGTGCAGTAATCCAGTTTATACGTGAAATTTGCCATCAAATATTATGAAAATTACTGCTCTTACAACAAATTGCTGGTAATGATCCTCATAAGATTCAATAGAAGCTTCTGCGAAATGAACAAATCTGAACGTAACACCAGAAAAACTAATGCCAAGTTTTCTTCTAAGGCATCTTGCTTTATGAAAGTGATATAAATATTCTTTCAATATTACACACCACTGCCATTTATTTTTTAAGTGCACTTTTAAAATTAATCAATCAATCTGAGGTGTGTAGAAACACCTGAGCAGAATCAGTTCAGATACTGTGTCTAACGTTCATATAGAGTCAGCAGAATCCTGGTTTTAGCTCAACGTGAGCTGAGAAGAGTAGCCTACTTTGATTATGGTTGCACTTAACAAGACTAATGTTACTGTGTTCATATTTACTTGTGCAATAAATTATAAAAAAAAAAAACGCTTAAGCCTAATTGTGTAGGCCTATATTGTATATGTGATCTCGAATTGCACAATATTTTAGTACATGCATTTGAGAGATGTTCTTTAATGTGATGAATGCACTAATCGCCTTTTTGGTAACTGCATGGCTTAACTGACGACAGAACTACATTGTATGTTCATAGTTTCTTGTTAGCTTTATTTACGATGAAGCGATAGAGCGTGCGCCTTATATTCGCCTTATACACCCCTGACCACCCCCTCGTTCCGCCCCTGGTTTGCAGAAAACAATTTGATTTCATTTTTTTAATGATTTTTTTAAATTAAAAAATGAAACAGTAAAGCAACATAAAATGTATCACAGTGATACTTGGGCAAACAAAGGTTCCCTTTCAAGGGAACTTCGAACTGCGTCCTCTAGGGGTCGCTATGGGGAACGCCTCGTCGTGACCCGTGTCTGAAGCATACATTGAAACAACACCAACAACACGTTGGCCGGCGACAGCCATGACGTCACTACCAGTGCGACTATAGTATAAATAGGCGCCGGGAG